AGCTGAGAAGTTGTTGAAATCTGAGAGGTCCAAGCAGAAGAAGATATGACAGTGTGTGGATGCGAGTAATCAAATCAACTTTTTGTTGAGAGTTTAAAAAGAGACCTCTAACAAACAGTAACATTATCCAGAGCATTTTTTAATACTTCCTCTAAATAATGCTGCTTCCTAAAAAGTAAATAACCGTTCGATTTTCTGTTGTGCGTAATGTGTGCATAATTCAAAGAAGAAAGTCTGAATGATGGAAGTTGAAGTAATGTGAGAAGGTGATATTTGGGAGGTTTTTAGTTCCCACACTCTAGAAAACAAGTCTGTGAAAATAGGACACAATGTATTGTGTTAATATGAAGGAATTTTCCGTAGTGTTTTTATACTGGAGTTTGGCCTGTGCTTTGAATTACACATTGTATTGCATTGTGTGTTAGGGTGAAAAGAAATGTCCGTAATATATATATATATTTTTTTATTACAATTTATAATCCAATTCCTACTTTTACTTTTTAACGGGTATTTACTTTTATCTTCACCTTGTAAACTTTATAGTTATATATCATGGATGCTTCTCATTAAAAAAGACCATATTTAACTCTAAAATCAAAAGAGAGAAAAAATGAATTATATTTAACCGTTTTCATTATTTTATTATTTTTCACTTTTCAGTATTTGAGATATTGACATGAGTCATCACATTTTCCTACCAAATTACCATTACCATAATGTGAAAAGCATCTTTCTTACTGTAATACATTATTAAAAATCATCCTGTCTGACCTTTTTTTTTTTTTTTTTTTTTTTTTTTTTTTTTATTAAAATCTGCATTCAAAATAAAAATTCATAGTCACTGAACACTTGGAAATATTAGGGAAGTTAAAATTGTGAATTCCAGTCTGTTTGTCTTTCTTTTTTTTATATTATGTACTTAGTTGTCATGAAAATCATGCTACAATGCAAAAAATCTTAATGTTATCCTAAAGTTATCTTCATTGTGAATTATGACTTGGGCAGGTTGAGAAGTTTATGATTGAACCAGCTGCTTTTTGTTTATATTTCATATGTGTTTTCAAATCAGAACAACAGACTGATTAATAGACGTTTCAGGGGGGAAACAAAACAAAACAAAAACACCTGAACATTATGTTGTACCAAACTAGCTGTGGTTAGCCCAAACTGGAATATGTGTGAGATGTGTTCGTGGAGGTGTGTCTCCAGGGCCGAACACGGAGCCTAATGCTGAAGCCAAGAGCTCTTTAGCAGCACTGTGGCTAAAGTGATCACGCTGAAATGCTGTTGCTATGGCAGACTGTGAGCACATTACAAACGAGAAAAGCACCCCGTAACCTCAACGTAGGTGTTTTTGCCTTGTTTACATGCTGCTTTTTGTTAAATATAACAAGAAATGCTGTTAATAGACCAGTGGTCAAACTCTTTTGGCCACCTCAAAACTACTGAATTGTTTGAATGCCAGTGTGAATGAAATGCAGTTCAACAGGTTTCTGTTTCTGTCAGTGTACTGACATGCTCTGATAGTGCTCGGTCTGTACAAAAAATAACCAACATCATTCTGACTTTATGCTTTCTCAAGTTTGAAGACTTATTTATTGATGTGTTTCTAATGCTAGGAAACCTCCAGTTGCATGTCTGACATTCTAATGGCGCTTTTCCACTGCGTGGTACGACTCAGTACTGCACGGCACGGCTCGGTTTGCGTTTCCACTGCAGTTTAGTACCGCTTTAGAGTGGGCGGGATTATTTCATTCCGCGTCACCCCATCAAGCTCTCGCTGGATCCGCTCCTCTGCTATCAACGAGAGGAACGTCTGTACTTCCTCAACAGACAACGAAACTGTTTTGTAGTAAAAAAAAAAGGTGCGCTCGTTCAAAACAGTTGTGTTCGATCCTTCGCTGGCTGTGCTGATTTAAATCTAGCGGTTCTGTTGTGTTTGTGTCGCAAGTTCAGTGACGCAGGTAGTGACGATTCTCTCCGGCCAATCCGTGATCAGCAGAGTTTACACGTCACGTTTTGGTAACGATACGGTTCACTTGGAACCTCAACTGAGGTGGTACTAAAATAAGTACCAGGTACTGTACCCAGTGGAAAACCCCCCAAAAGTGAACCGTACCGAGCCATACCGTGCCGTACCATGCAGTGGAAAAGCAGCATAAGTGAGTGACACACGAATATGTAGCTTCACTTCAACACTTTGGTGATCTTCGTAATTTTTGACCGAAACATACCATCAGAATGGTACAAAACTTGTTTTGGGCACTTGCTATGTGAACATGCTAATGGCATGATTCGAAAAGGTTAAATGGTACTGGAAAAATTATGGAAATTATCATTGGAAATGAATGGGAAACCAATATCTTCTAGTGGAAGCATTTGGTACTGCGCCCAAACAAAATCTTATTGAAAGCCCATTTTTTGAGATATCAACTTCAAATTTGGAACACAGCTTGTTTAGATTTATGGCTTTGATTTTCTCAAAGGTGTAGAGTAAAACATGTTTTGGAATGTTTTGTAATGTAATGTAATGTATTTTGTAATGTAATGTAATGGAATGTATTTTAAAATTTAAAATAGTATTTTTGTGCATTTTTGATAATAATAAACTTAAGCTTCGACAACTTTTTTCAAGCTTCACTTTAACTTTTTTTCAGCAATAGCCTGCCTGTTAATGTGTCTCTTTTAAAAAGAGACAAGTCTGTGCTCCAAAGCATGTAAGATTTACGGTAGTTTAACTTGGAAATTTTAGGTCTTTGCTCAAAAAGGTGGTTTACAGGTAATAAATGGATCATAACTAATGCATAAATATAATTTAGTACCATAAAATCCCCTAAAAATACTAAATATTTAAGCACAAATGGTTCTTTATAGTGGAAAAAGTTTTTTTTTTAGATTATTAAAATCACAATCACATTAAGAAAAGTTTTCTGAAAGTTTCCATGGCCAAAATGTTTTATAGCATTGCTGCAGAAACCCCTTTTGGAACCTTTATTTTTAAAGGGTGTTGAGAAAACTATAACCGGATATGCTATATGCTATAACCGGATAACTTAGAACCAAAAGCAACAAACAGTCTCCCAGATGTTCTTATTTTTGGCTCTATTTTCACCAAATCAAGCAGTTCCACCCGCGATCTTCTCCAGAACTCCACACCATAATCTCCAAGCCAACAACTAACCCTGTGTGGAACATTTTTGGAAACTTAATGTTCTGTTCTGTTTTTAATATTGGTATCAGAGGAATTCATTATTTCAGCATGATCTCATAGATCTCTTCCTCTGAAACGAATTTAAAATGACAATGTGAACACTGCTTGCGAGTGATATACTGTAGGCCTACTAGAAACGATAATCCAGTAAAAAGTTGTGAGATTTGAGTATTGCAGCTGTAACAGTTAGGCTACATGATGGAGAATGGACTTTGCATTCAGTCACTAAGCCGAACAAAGTTGTCATCAACCAAAAATGTGAAATTATTGAGATTTCATTTCTTTTTGTGAGTAGTTCTTTAGTAAAACTTGTCCAATGCATCAGTTAGGGTGGATAGCATTTTTTCAGATCCATGGGTGTGTTTCAAAATGCTCCCTAGTTCAGAAATAAGCACACTGCCCAAGGGAGCCATTTGTAGTGCTGGCGCATTGTCAAAATCATTCCTGGGCACTGAAAAATATGCTACCTGGAGCTTTCCAGAATCCACATGGATTTTGCTCTGTCTGCTGAGATGAATGGGAATGCTAACGAATGCTAGCTTTATCCAGGTATTATAGACCTCATTGGCTGCAATGAAGATGCATGATAAAACAATAAACAAGAAGGATAGACAGTGTCGTTGTTAAAAGACCATTGATATTCAGTGATATTCAGCAATATTATTGACTCGACTGCACTGACACTATCGGAGGAAACTTGAACTGAATCGAACTACTGCTGTCTATTGTACACTACTGTCTTCTGTAGAGTTGCCTTTGTCAGTGTTTCAAAGTTGATCATCTATGAAACAACTTCAGTTAATGAACTGAATTGAATTAACATTGAACAAAATTAAGCTTAACAATGACACTTGCCTTCTGTAGAACTTTTTCTAGCTAGATCCATTGCTTTAAAATTGATGAACACTGTAATTGAATCAACATTGAACTAAAATGAACTGAATTATGGCACAAGTATTGTCTTCTATAGAACTGCTTTATAGCTGAATGTAATTATCATAATTGATTACCTTTGCAACATCGACACTTATTGAACTGAATTGAATCAACATTGAACTAAACTGAGCTAAACGATGACGCTTGTGTCTTCTGTGGAGCAGCTTTAAAACTAAAATTAAAGTTGTTTCATAATTTATTAATTTTGCAATATTTACATTGATATTTTCATGTTTATTACTGTAAATCTGCTACAATATGTACAGTGCATTATTATGTTTGAAAATGACTTGACTTAACAGATATGCTTTAATGCAGCATTACTGTGTCGATATTGACTCATTATAACAGTTAAGGTATCAAGGCCATCGCTAGTTGCCGAATTTTTGTTAGATTTTCAAGTGGAAGCAACAAAGTAGCTACATTTGCATATTTTGTTCAGTGTGTTATTCCTTCTCTGTGCACTTGCCAAGACCTTGTCATGTTGTCAGTCTGTTCCTGTTGGGTAACATCAGCTTGCTTGCATAGAAACAAGTTGGTGCAAAGTCGTAAAACGGTTAAACAATAACATTATTCAGCGCAGCAATACCAGTTGGATGAGCTGACCTACTGACTTTTGCACAGTTTTGAATGTTTAGCCACTCCTCTCGTTAGTGATTTGTAAGGAAGTCTTTATAATGATATGGCGTTTTGTGTTATTGTTGTTGTCAGTGTCTCAATTTGAAGAAATCAATATACGTGATCAGCCAGGCTCACATTCAAAATGCCGATGTATTTTTGTAACGAGTCATTCAAGCAGACATGTTAAAATGCTCTTTAAAGAATTCATGCATTGCTTTGCTTCTCTCCACAGAGTGAGTCCTACTCATCCTAAGGCTGATGTCCTCCAAGAGCAGCGTCTGAAACATGGACGACCCTTTAAAGGTTGACTGATTCCAGCTGACACCTTCATAACTATGCTGCGAGTCTCGCAAGGCCCGATGGCCACACTAGCCACCAACAACCCGCCTAATTCCCCAACCCAATTCAGGGAATGATCAAACCATCCTGTCTAGGACATACACATCAAGAGACCTCTTACATACAGGTTAGTAACAAAAATAAACACTTTTACTCAATAACTGACTACAACTTGTAGGAAATGGACATTAAAATCCTCAAGTTAACCTATCTTAACAACCCTTTCCCATTTTGACTAGTCAAATTACTTGAAATTACAACTCAAAACTTCTGCAGGACGGCAGATACCCCAAATCCAATGGCATGGGCCAAGTTCTTCAGGAGACCAGGAGGCAATCTTTCCAGGTCTTACCAGCCAGGATCTATGCTATCCTTGGCCCCTACCAAGGGACTACTAAATGAGCCGGGACAGAACAGCTGCTTCCTCAACAGTGCAGTGCAGGTGCGTGTTTATCCCAAAGCTAAGGAAACAGTTGCATGAGCAGGTTTGTTTTACATGCCTGTTTTTGACATTAATGCTATTGTTTACTTGGAATAAATATACTTAAAAATGCAAGTCTAAATGAATTTAATAAGTGAAATATATATAATAAATTGTGGAAAAATAATGTGTATATACTAAATATTTTTAATTACATATTTAAATTTATTTTAAGTAGTGTTAATTTTGTCAGCTATTTTCATTTTAGTCTTAATCTTAGTCCCGTGTTAAAATGTCCTTGTTAGTTTTTATCTTATTTAGTCAACCTTATCCTATTTAGTTTTAGTCGACTAAAAGTCTCAACATTTTAGTCTAGTTTTAGTCCAAGAAAACCTGAAGTATTTTAGTCTAGTTTTAGTCAATGAAAACTTGACATTTTAGCAATAAAATTATTATTAATTAACAGTACAGTATTAATTTTGGCAGCCATTTTTAATTTAGTCTTAGTCTTACTCAAATGTCCATTTTAGTTATCATATTTAGACAACCTTGTCCTGTTTTTGTTTAGTCAATTTTAAGTCAATGAAATGTATGAGCGTTTTAGTCAATGAAATCTTAGTCACATTTTCGTCATTCTGTATAATGGTTAAACTGATAAAAAATATTTTTTCTCAAAATTATAATCTATAATAAATAAAAGAAATTTACTTTTGCATTTCAGGTATTGTACTTTCACCATAAGCACAAATCAATAGAATGTGGACACATACATAGTGTATTTTACCTCATCTAGTTTACTGATTTATTATAGGCTTTTTATTATATAATTTAATACCAAATATTTATGCAATCTCGCTGTCTACATTATGAAAACAGCTAAACCAAACGAAAAATATTATAACAGTGAAATTCCTAGTAATTCCAAATTGCAATAGCCTATTTCTCTATTAAAACAACAGCGGTTGAGTAAGTGCATTTATTCAGCGATCACAATCGCAAACAATACAGTCGAGATCTCATGACAGAACACAGACCAGCTGAATGACGCTTTCATTTAGATCGCTAAACTCCAGCTTGTTTGTTGGTGTTTTCAGATCACCGTCGGCGGCGCTTCCACAATGAGGAGTGAGCGTTTGTGCATGGTTGCCAGATTGCTTAAAATAAGCAAAACACACCAGGCAGAATATATATCAATGTAACAGTGAAGCTCTGATTTGGGGATTAGAACTCTTGATATCTGGCAACCGCATTCATGAAAGCTCGCGTAGTAGAGGCGTGTAGAGCAGCCTGCAATAACATTTTGTCTTCTTTTTTTGACGAAAATAAAAATAGGTTTTTGGTAAAGTTTCTTTTTGAATACATTTTAGTCTCGTCTTATTTCGTCAACGAAATTGCATGTTGATATAGTCTTCGTTATCGTTTATTGACCTTATTATCATCTCGTCTTCGTCTCGTCTTAGTCATGGGGAAAAAAGCTTGTCAACGAACATTTTTTGTCGTAGTCTTCGTTAACGAAATTAACACTAATTTTAAGGCTGCATTTATTTGTTCAAATAAACAATAAAAAACAGCAATATTGCAAAATGTTATTACAATTTAAAATAACTGTTTTCTATTTTAATATATTTAAAATTTAATTTATTTCTGTGATGCAAAGCTGAATTTTCAGCATCATTACTCCAGTCTTCAGTGTCACATGATCCTTCAGAAATCATTCTAATATGCTGATTTGCTGCTCAAGAAACATTTCTTCTTATTAGCAATCTTGAAAACAGTTATACTGCTTAATATTTTTGTGGAAACATGATACACTTTTTTTCAGGATGAGAACGTTTTTTGAGCTTCATTTATTAGAAATAGACATCTTTTGTAACAATGTAAATGTTTTTGTTGTAACTTTTGATCAGTTTAATGTATCTTTCCTCGGTACAAGTTTTGATTTCTTTCAAAAAAAAAACAAAAACAATAATCTAATAAAATTATATGTAATAAAATCTAATAATTTTAATATATACAATTATTTATAAAATGATTATTAAAAATTTATTTATTTTCTATCTATTTGTCTACCTTTTTACTTAGTAATACCCTAACGTGAATATGGCAAACATTTTACCATATAATTTATTAATTTAAGGGCAAATATGAACATAAAGACTTTTAAACTGGATTTATTAACCTTTAATGACTAAAGTCTTAAACTTTGAATGAACTAAATACTGTTACCAAGTACATAACACCTACATATAAAAGTAAGACAGACTGGACTTACCACAATCACATAAAAATATCATGCCACCCCCTGAACGTATTTAACTTTCGTATGACTCGCATTGGAAGTCCGACCTTCACAGCAAACTGTCATCTCCTCAGTGCCTACCGAGAGAGTATTTACGGCATCCAAACTCCACCCGTCAACCCCCAAGTCTTTGTCATGCTCCCAGTTCTCTAGTTACTGGAAGTCCGTTTTCCCTTTTGGATGGGACTGTGGACATTATGATTGAGTGTATCTCTGTTATCTTGTTCTTTTACTCATCACCATGGAGTGAGGTCATGCTCAGACTAAGTTGTCTGGGGCCTAAGGGAAAGACACTGAGTGAAGAGTAACCTTACACTGGAAGTCCAAACTCAAAACACACACACACACACACACACATGGATGAAAAGCTCTCACCCCCTATCTTGTCATAGCCTAATCTCCCTTAAGATCTTCCACCAAGCAAGGACAATGAGTCATAGTTCTTGGAGTTTTAACAACAAAATGACGCCTAATAAGAAAAGGCAAAGACATACAGTAATGCATGGCCTTTGGATGCTGACTTTAAGATTGGCACTATAAAGCCGTCATGCAAAACCAGAATAATGTTTTAGGAGTTTATAAAGATAGATTAGAGGAGAAGCACACCATCGCCAAATATACATTGCAGAGGTGCTTCTGAAGTGCCATTTAGGTGTCATTACACAGACTGCCTAATGCTGCTCAGAAGTGGCATAAATGCATTTACACAGATGCAAATGCTACTGTATGCTTTGGTACTAGGTGCTAAGGTTGGTCAGAGCAGGCTTAATTTAGTATGGCTTTTATGCGGCATTATATCTTTGCACAGAATTTTGAGCAGGCATAGAGCAGCCTTAACTTGGCTGTGTAAAGATGCCTTATGTAGAGGTGCTTCCTACATACACAGGATTTTGAGGCTCATTTCAGATAGGAAGGCTGTTACAAACTGCTTCAAAAGACGTCTTTACACAGCCGAGTTAAGGCTGCTCTATGCCTGCTCATAATTGTGTGTAAAGATGTAATGCTGCATAAAAGCCATACTAAATTCTGCCTGCTCTGGCCCACCTCAGCCCCTAGTATCAAACTACTGTATAAAGGTGCAGTTGCTGTGTAAATGCATTTATTCCACCTCTGAGCTGCAGTAAACAGACTGTGTAAGACACCTATAACAAATTTACACAGCAAAGGTGGCACAGAAGCGCGCGTTCTGACGTGCCATTTAGGTGTCTTTACACAGACTGTTTAATGTTGCTCAGAGGGGGCACAAATGCATTTATGCAGCAACTGCACCTTTGTGCCTACATGATTTATTTTCAGGTTGTATAGGGTTTACTGGGGTGAGTTCATTCTCAATCTG